TGGAAGATTTAATGCGCACTAAATGAATTTTCATCTTTTTTTCTTAACCTGTTGAAAAAACAGATAGGAATACATTTTCTTTGCAGGAATTCTACCAATCGGAAACGTCATTAAATTCCGTGTTCAATGAGGTAATCTGTCAGCGTGGGCCTTAATTGTTAAATTGAAACAGCTGTCTAAAATGAAATTGACGTGTCTCGCAGAAATAGAAAAAGAGAGCTTAATTGTAATAAATACAAGTTAGAAAGTAAATGACATGCGCGCGCAACTCGTGGCTGCAGTGTGGCCAGATTGTATTGTTGCAGAACAATGTTGACAATACAAATCGAACATTATAACATTAAAGAAGTGATATATTGTCAAGTGTTTTACAACACCTTGAATCAGACAAAAAAGAAGAGCTTCAAAGTATATACTTACATCGATGGCACTTTTATTTTGATAATGATGTTTCATCCGGCAACATCGCACAATGAAATTGCAAAGGAATATGTCAAGTATAATCTAACATAACCTCAAACGACACTGCGATAAGTTCAAGTAATACGTAAAGTATTAGTTTGCTCTTTGTCGAATTACACGTTATAAAGAAAGAAGGAACGATTAATTTTGAGCTCGTCCCTAATGCGAATATGACGCAAGTTCGTAACAAACTCGATTTTCTTTGGACAATCACTTGCAACCCACGAGTTGCGCGCGCACACCAGGTATTACGAGACACGTCAATTTGGTAATTTGACAATCAGTTAGCTGACAGTTTTCAAATGTTAGGTATTATTCTAGCAATTTAATGATCAATGACGTCATTTACTTTTCTGAAAAAATCATCACTTTTAAATTAATGAATCTTTGATAGCTTGTTGAATTGGATAATTTGATGTTTTATTATTTTTTAACTATAAGGTATATTACACGATTTTGCGTGCGGTAAGTACCATATTATTATATCACCACACGGCGTGCTGTAATAGCGTGCAGTATTATAATTAATATGTAAATATTAAATATTATTATGAAGATAAATAAAAATCTCAAGCCCCCACCATGCCACAGTACCAGCGATGACGTGGCAGTGTGTCATTTCACGCCTTGACGTAGGGTGTTTGCACCACAGGCTCTTGCTTATGCATCTTCCTATTCACCTATTATATGGTATTCAAAATTGAATAGTATAGTGTTTTACAGATTATCAAATTTTACAAGATATACCAATTTCGTTTGGTCATTCGTTTAAAATTGTCTTTCCAAACTTGTCTTTCAGGATGAAGAAAAGTTGCAAAAGAATTACTGAAAAAAAAAATTCAAGGCCTACTAAGATATGTCATATGTCACATTGGTATCGGCATACCAGTGTTGCCATCTGGAAACTTCTTGTTTTGCAAATTATCTAATTTTGCTAGGCCTACTATGATATACCAATTTCATTTTGTTATCCGTTTAAAATTGTCTTTCCAAGTTTGTCTTTCAGGATGAAGAAAAGTTCGAAGATAAGAATTATTGAAAAAAAAATAACATTCTACAAGGCCTACTCTAAGATACGGCATATGTCACATTGGTATCGGGATACAGTGTTGCCATCTCAAAACTTCTTGTGTTGCCAACTAGAAGAGATTTAGTAAACAGTCCAAATTATGAAATCTTGAAACCGAAAAATACTGGGTAATAACCGTATTATTTATATAGGTTCCGGTTATGACTGCCTCTCAACATTTCTTTGAAATATGAAGTTCGTTCCGGTCCCCCCGGTTTTCGGTTCAATATCGTTCCGGGTCCGGGTCCGGGTTCCTGGTTCTGAGACTTTCAAGTTAATTTTATTCAAATTTCAAACTCATGAATACAACCTCTGGAAATTATTAATAGAATGTCTGAGTTTTGACTTTCCCAATTGATTCAGTAGGTTTAAATTAATCGAAAGAAATTCTAACATCACTTTCAAAATGGCGATTTCAAAAAGCTATAAAATCTCAATTTTTGTTCTAGAAATTTTTTCAAATCTTGACAAGGTTAGGAATAATGGCCAATATCTTCGAAGAAATTTGAACAAATCAAAATAAATTATATATGGTTGGAAAGAGCATTAAATTCTCTATAAATCCATGCTAAATCGGTTTTGATAACTCGAATACTTTCTGGGCAATTGGATTTCAAAGTTAACTTTTAGTCCAAATTTTATCAAAAATTTCAAACTCGATTTTCTCGAAAAAGAGCTAGTGATTTTAACTAAATAACATTTAAAAGCCCTTGTCGAAAGTTACATTTCCTGAAAATTTTAATTCAAAATCTTTAATAGATTTTAAGATATCCAAGATCAAATATTTTGAAATAAAAATCTAAAGGGGTAACCTTTTGAAAAATTCGAAATTTTTATTGTTCTTATTTATTGAATTTTGATTTTTTCAATCGATAGAGTGGGTCTAAATTAGTCGAAAAAAACTCTAACATCATTACAAAATCTTGAGTTCAACACAGAGAAAAATTAAAAAGTAAATCTCAATTTTTAGGTTTAATTTTTTTTTGAATCCTAACAAGGTTAAGAGCAATTGCCAATACTTCTTTTAAATTTTGAGCAAATCAAAATAGATTATATATGGTTGGAAAGAGCATCAAATTCTCTATAAATCAGTGCTAGATTGAGTTTGATAACTCAGATACTTTTGGAGCAATTGAGCTTTAAAGTTGGATTTTAGTTGAAATTTAGTCAAAAACTTCAAACTCGATTTTCTCAAAAACCGTAAATGCCAACGACTTCAACTTCTACTATTTTGAAGCCCACATCAAGAGCTACAATTTCGAAAAAAAAAAAATTGATCCAAAATCTTTGACGGGTTTGGAGGAAATTGAGTTTGAAAATTTTGAAATTGAAATCCAAAGGGGTTTAATACTTTGAAAAAATTGAAATTTTTATTTTCCAGATTTTTTGAATTTTGACTTTTCCAATCGATAAAGTGGATCTAAATTTGTCGAAAAAAACTCTAACATCATTTCCAAATCTCGATTTCAAAAAGGAAAAAAAATCAAAAAGAAAATCTCAATTTTCAGATTAAATTTTTCTAAAATCCTGATAAGGTTAGGAGCAATTGCCAATACTTCCATTAAATTTTGAGCAAATCAAAATAAATTATATATGGATGGAAAGAGCATTAGATTCTCTATAAATCAGTGCTAGATTGAGTTTGATAACGCAAATACTTTTAGAGCAATTGAGCCTCAAAGTTGGATTTCAGTTAAAATTTAGTTAAAAACTTCAAATTAGATTTTCTCAAAAACCGTAAATGCCAACGACTTCAACTGAGTACTTTTTTCTCAATTTGCATTATTTTCAACGGCATTAGTGTGCACTAAGTATATTCATGTCTTTTTTTACTAGTTTGTATAAGAAAGAGATAGAAATACATTTTTTCTGAACTGGTTTTAGCAAAGGATTTGTTAAAATTCAAAAAATTATTAGGTTTTGGAAGAAAAATTTAAAATGTAGGAACCTTAGTCTAAAAATGTAGTAACCCTAACGCAATTTAACGTTTCAAAGTCGACCTTAAAGTTTTTGACAGTTAATTTAAAATGGCTGGGTTGTTTCCAAGACCTACTTGATTTGATAATTTTTTTGCTTACAGTTATCTGTATTACCGACATCGATTAAAACCTGGGCTGGGATCACGACAAGTAGAATTCTACTTTTATGACGTCAGGTTGCTTAGTAACAGTGATTATCGCCTGTAGTATACGCAATAAATAGGTCGTGGGTGACGTCATGAAAATAGAATTGTACTTGTCATGTTCCCAGCCCAGGATTACTTCAAGGTTCACTTAGTTTTTGATAAGTAGTAATCTTATGTCTAAATGATATTTGACATTTTGCCCAACAGTGTTGCCGATGTTTATATAATTACTGTTATGGAAAATTTGAAGTTTACAAGGCCTATTTGGGCTTTTTTTTGGATAAATTCGAGTCTCAATGATTGACACAATATTTGTTATAAGTTGTAGTTGGCAACACTGTTTGACAAGGGACAAAGTAGGCTTTGCAAAATTTTAAAATTTAAATATAGCGCCTTGTAATACCAATATTGCAATACATACATGTTTCCAAAGCCTACTTGGTTGATAGGTATAAGCCCGTGAGGAGAGAATTTTCCTGAAAAATCAACTTTTAAGATTTCTGGTGATTTTTTATACCAATTTCCGGTGATCTTAATTTTTTTGACCTGGCAACAGTGCATATTCTTCAACGTCTTCTAAATCACATTTTTGGTGTTATTTCAGAATTATTTTACAGCAATTAGGATTCAGTTTAGAACTGAAAACCTTCTAAAACTCTTCTGAACTAATTTAGAACACGTTGGAACTTCACTAGGGCTGTAAAATACTTAAAAATCTGTCAGAACAATTTACTGAAAAACTTCTAGAATGCTCCAGAACTCTTCAAGCCAAGTTAGAACATTTTAGAACTTCAATAAGTCATTTAGAACGTTCCAAAACTCTTTCCAGCAATATTTTGAAAGAAAATTTGAGAAATTGAGAATTATTTCAGAGTGCCTAGCTGGAATAGACAAAAATTGAAAATTTAAGGAAAACTCAACTCAAATGGATTTGATTTTCTTTACTCAAAATCCACTGAGAAAAAGAAAATTGAAATTTTGAGGATTTATTATAGAGAATTTAAAGAAAAACATACTAAAAAATCAAATTATTTCAGCTTCAAGCAAGGGAGTTCTCAACAATTACAAAATAGAAATGATTTTTCTAAAGAAAAATTTGACTAATCTAACTTAAAACCAGATGTGAATAATTTCATTCCTAAAACCCAAAAGAAAATAAATCAATTATGAATTATCGATTAATTGGTATGAGCTAAAATAACAAAAATTCAATTGATATCTCGCCGTCGATTACAGAAAAATTCCAAACGCGTGTTTACAATTAGCAACAGTAATCTTTAAATAATATAGTAACATTTTATTTGTTGAATTTGGAATATTTTAACTGTTGTACGTCCCTGAAGTTGCAACTTCAAACACCAATAACAGAAACGAGTCCGGTCCTTTTTAGTGCCCCATACGCCATCAAGCTTATCCCGAAAAAAGAAAAAAAAACCCAGGGACATTTCCAACACACAATAAAATTCAAAAACACCACCACCACCACCACCGTCCCAAAAACTCTCCACTGGCCGTAGAGGTATAAACAAATTCGACGCCCCGTCCTTTTCTGGATCGATTCCGATCTTCGTCGCGCTCACTTTTAACAAGAGGCGGGAAATTTTCTGGTGCCGCCCCACACCGAACTCCGAGGCCCCCAGAACTGAACCGAGAGGCGGCAAACGTCCGCGAGCCGCCAAAGCGACCGAAACTATATTCCGAACGCGAGTGTGCAAAATTGGGTTTTAATGTGCGTAACATGGAAGACGAACAGCAACACTTGTTAGCTGACGAGTACGTCCAAGAATTTGTTTTGGATCACTTGGAAAGTATTACAGTGAAACGCGAAGATAAACGTCAAATGATGATGGAAAGTAGTTCACCATCAGCAGGCTGGATTCAGCCAGAAGAAGATTCTTCAAGTAGGCGCTGGAATGAGCGCAGGAATTTATCGCCTCCAGAATCGATTTATCCTCAATCCTGTTTGATTAATATGATCGATCCAGAAACACCGCCGCACACTTCTCCAAGCCAATCTCCAATCTATAGACCACCTTTGGAAGATGATCAACCAATCATGTGGTTGCCTCATATGCAAATGTTACGTCAAGAGCCTCAGCCTTTGGATTTGAGGCATTTACATGCAATGGGTGGAGATCCTGAATGGGAAAGGCGCGGCTATATACCTTCTGGCATGATCCAAGAAGAACATCATCATATTTTACACAGGCCAGAATCAGTTTCATCAGTTACAAGTGCTTTATCACCAAGAATGCACCACACTAATCGTAAAAGCGCTAGTAGCGGTTATTTAACAAGTGACAGCTACAATACAAGCGGTTACTCAACCTGCTCAGAAGATCTCAGCCTGAGCGACAAAGCCTTAATGACTCTATCAGTGCGTGAACTAAACAAACGCCTTCATGGATGTCCCAGAGAAGAAATCATCAGACTAAAACAAAAAAGACGCACCCTTAAAAACCGCGGTTATGCCCAAAACTGTAGATCAAAACGACTACAGCAACGTCAAGATTTGGAAATAACAAACAGAAGTTTACAAAATGAGCTTCACAGGACCAAATCAGAGGTTGCAAGGTTGACGCACGAGTTGGACAGATTGAAGTTGCAAATGCGGAATCAAAATCAGCAGGTGCCTCAGGGTCTGAGCTGCGACGGGCAAAATTCGCCTGAGTTTTACGTCTGACATCACTTCCAGGGCCGGAGGGTGTAAAACATTGGCCGGCTCAATAATTGGACAACGTCAGTGAAGTGCAAAGTATTTTTGTGAGTTTTTTATTTTAATTTTTATTTTAACAATCAATAATATCACTAATTATTGTACTATAATTATTAGGACCTTTTAAGCATATCCTTCAATTACCTACTTATACGAAACTTGTTTTTTTTTTTTGTATAAAATAATTATTATTATTAATTATATTTTAAGAGTATTTTTATATAATATTACTATATCTTTGAAACAGGGTCGGTTTTTTTTTTGTATCTTGACGCCTGGCTAAACAAAAAAATCTTGTTATGTTTTATAAAATTATAAGATACGTTGACAAATTTATTGTAAATAAATTTTTTTAGGAACCAAAAATCGGAAATAAATAAAGACAAATAATTATTGGTCGAATTTTAAGTGTTTGTGGATTTTGTTTTATTTTTCTTTCAGGTTAAAAATTGTTTCAATTTCCTTTTTGTTTTTTTTTTTTAATCTTTGTCAATAATCGAAAAGCTTAAAATTCAAATTAGGAATAATTGTATGAGGTTTTATTAAATCCATATATTCCGGATTTAGATCCCTTCGAGCACACAGAGCTGTCAATATTTGAAATGAAGTACTTAAAATTTTACTTCAAGTACATAGTACTTTAAATATTTTATTTGAATTACTTTTTTTGTTATGTAGGTACTTGTACTTGTACAATATCTATTCTAAAATACTTGGATTTTTACTTGATTATATCAAGTATTCTGTTTGAAATACTTTGAGTAGGTACCTACGTATAATAAATAAGTTTCCTAATTTTCTTTAAATAATAATTATTGCAAATTTTTTTTTTTACAGTTCACAACTATCGAAATTTGACAAATATTTTCTAATTTTGAATTAGTACAGACTATTTGATTTAATGCTCTTTCCAATGGTATATAATTTAATCTTGAAAATTAACAAATATATGAGCAATTGCTCATGACCATGTCAAGATTTTGAAAATTTTCCAGAGTAAAAAATAAAATTTTCTTTTTATTTTTGTTTTTGCTTGAAATGGCAATTTGGAAATGTCACGATTGTGTTTCACTAATTTTGGCCCACTCTATCGATTGGTAAAGTCACAGTTGAGCAAAACTGAAAAATAAAAAAATCAACATTTTCATAAGTGTACCCACTTTGAATTCTGATTTCAAAATATTCAAACCTCAATTGTTCGGTAACCGTTGAACAAATTGCATTGAAATTTTTAGCATTTGTAGCTGTCAATAAGCTCTAAAAATTGTGTAATTTACAATTTGAGCTATTGAACTCAATTTTACACGGATTTATAAAGAATTTGTTACTCTTTCCAATGATATATAATTTAATTTAATTTGCTTGAAATTTAATAAAGATATGGGCAATTGATCATAATCATGTCAAGATTTTGAAAATTTTCCAGAGTCATAAATAAAATTTTCGAATGTAATAACACAAAGGTAAAAGTATTAGGTAATCCTGAAACATCGAGTGGTATTCAGAAGGTTATACAGCGAACTAAACTTTAATACTTTATTAATTTTTATTATAATTAATAACAAGTTGCCACCAAACGCGATAATCCCAAAAGGGTTATCACTTATTGAGCCTTTCGTGTCATTTTAATTCCAAAATCTTCAAACTTCAATTGCTCGGTAACCGTTAAACAAATTGCATTGAAATTTTTAGCATTTGTAGCTCTTATTGAACTCTAGATAGCCTGTAATTTTCAATATTCCGAGGTTTATTATACTCCTGGACAAAATTATCGCACCACTGCACATAAGCATCACCATAAGCAGTGGTGCGATAATTTTGTCCAGGAGTATAGTTTATGAGCAAATTGAGCTTGAAGTTTTTGACAAAATTTGAATTAAAAATGAACTTTCAGGCTCAATTGCTCAAAAACGATTCGAGTTATCAAACTCAATTTTGCACAGATTTTTAGAGAATTTAACGTTCTTTCCAATGATATACAATTTGCTTGAAATTTAATAAAGATATGGGCAATTGTTCATGATTATATCAAGAATTTGAAAATTTTCCAGATCCAAAAGTTTTTAGAGTTTTTATAAATAATTTACTTTTTCTGAATTCTAAAAGCAAATTTTGAGAGTCAATTGCTCAAAAACTCAAAAACCATTCGAGCTATCAAGCTCAATTTTGCATAGATTTATAGAGAATTTACTGCTCTTTCCAATGATATATAATTTATTCCAATTAACTCAAATATTCAACGAAGATCTAGGCAATTATTTCTAAGCGCGCCTTAAACAATAAAGGCTGTAGGTATGGGCTTGAATATAATCATATATACCCTGTACCTTTTTTGGAATCATGCCCTGCTTGATTTTAATAATTGAGACTGATGTACAAAATTTTACTCGAATCGGCGCACCTTATAACGAAAAATATAAAAAATTACTAAGCACCAAAGCACCTTAGTACATTTATTATTTTAAAAATAATAAATGACATAAAGCTCGGTTAAGATACCAGAATAGACTGAAAATCGGATTATATTGTGAATAACTAAAAAAAAATACTAAGAATTATCTTGTTTTGAACAAATTTTAGATATTTGAAGTACCAAAATTACTTCAAGTATTGCTTCAAGTAATTTATTTAAAGTATTTCACATACTTGAAGTACTAAATATACTTTAAGTAATGCCACTTTACTTGAAGCTCAGTGTTTTTACTTGATGAAATTCAAAAAAAAAGTTTATTTGATAATCAAAGTATAATTTCAAAAAACTTGTACTTGTACTTGTACTTGTGTCAGCTCTGCAGGCATGCCACAGCTCCTAAAATAGTGAGTTTCTGTAATGTGCCCTAAGGACTCAAAAGTCTTGAAATAATGAGTTTATACACCAATGAAGCTTTTTAAAAGACTCAAATAAGAAACAAATTATACAACTTCAATCTTCTTTGAATCCATTTTTCCGTTGTGATTTCTCTCAAAATTTAAACATCTCCTAATGTTGTTTTATGGAAGTTTCACTTTTTCCAATTTGACGTTGACATTTGACATTGAAACACATTTTGCCGATCTTAACGTAATTAGGTGCAAATTGAAGCCAATTAATCCTCTACAAATCTTTAACTAATAGTTTCGATGCAGTTTCAATAATTTCGCAGCTGTGAAACTTGAAAGTATTTGGACTTAAATTTTTATCTAATTAGGCAAGCAAAAGGAAAAAAATAAAACGTCTCTTGCAATGTCATTTTTTAGAAATTTGATTTTTTTGTAAAATGACATTTACGCATTTTACATCACAATTTTGGTGATTTCAATTTGATCAAAACGTAGTTATGCCCGAATTAAAGTCAATAGACCTATCTCGCATGATTAGAAAAAGAGAGCTTAATTGTAATAAATACAAGTTAGAAAGCAATAAAAGATGACATGCGCGCGCAACTCGTAGGCTGCAGTGTAGCCAGATTGTATTGTTGCAGAATAAATGTAGACAATATACAAATCGAATATTATAACATTAAAGAAGTGATATAGTTTCAAGTGTTTTACAATGCCTTATATCAGACAAAAGAAGAGTTTTAAAGTGGATGAACATCGTTTGCACTTTTATTTTGATAAATGTTTCCTCCGGCAACATCGCTCAATGAAATTGCAAAGGAATATGTCAAGTATAATCTTAAACGAAACTGCGGTGAGTTCAAGTAATATGTAAAGAATTAGTTTGCTCTTTGTCAAATTACACGTTACAAAGAAAGAAGGAACAATTCATTCTGAACTGGCCCCTGAATAAGAATATGACGCAAGCCTGTCACAAACTTGCTTCTCATTGGACGCTCACCTGTAGCCTACAAGCGACGCGCGCAGTCCAGGTAATAGGAGGTAGGTCTATTAAATTCTCTACAAATCTGTAGTAGAAGTTTCTAGAGCTTCAACAATTCCGAAACTGCAAACTGCAAGCTTCAACGTATTTTGAGTTTAATTATTTATCAAGGTGAGCGTTTAGATTCTTCGGATATTTATTTCAAAGTATTTGAACTTTGGGCATTCGGATGAAATATTGAGACAAATTTTTCAAAGATTTTGATGCCTCAAAAAGGAATATATTTATTGATATCACTTGCGGTCAACTTGGTGTATTGTAACTGAGAAAATTAAATTTAAGGTATTTTACAAAATTTCCAGTAAAGTTCAACTTTGAAGCTCGATACCTCAGGAAGCTCATAAGCTACTGGAACAAATTTACCACTGCACAGTTTCAAAGAGAATTCAATGGTCTTTGCAATGATATATAATTAAAATCAATTCGCTTGAAAATTATTTAGGATATGATAACAATAAATACAAGGAGCAAACCACCTAGGAATTCTTTGCCAAAAATGTGGGGAATTTGTGGGAAATTTAGAGGAATTTGTGGGAAATTTGAAGGAACTCATCGGAATTTATGAGAATTTGAGGAATTTATAGGGAATTTGAAAAAAATTATGGGGAATTTGAAAAAAATTGTGAGGAATTTAAAGGAAATTGTAAGGTCATGACATCACTGAGGTTCACATTCTTATTATAAGAAATAGTAATAGATGGAAATTTTAAAAAAAATCTAGTTTAGTGTTGGACGTTGGATATTCATTTTTATTAAAGAAATCCTCCCAAAATTACACTACATGATTTACAGGTCCAAATTTAAAAAATTCAAAAGAATAAGGAATGTAGTTTTTGTAGGCTGATATTCAAGATTTTTTATGTTGTTATTTTCCAATGGAAAAATTTGAAATTCTGGGAAAATGAGCTTTAAACCTTTCTCTTTACATGCAAAAAGTTTGAAATTTCTCCCTTCACTAGTTTTCCAGGAAAACTTTGAAATGTGTGAGACTGTGTTTTCAACTAATTCAGTTTTTGTAGGTTGATTTCCAAGATTTTTCATGTTGTTGTTTTCCACTGGAAAAGTTTGAAATTTTGGAAAAATGAGCTTCGCACCTTCTTCTTTACATACAAAAAGTTTCAAAATTTTCCCTTTACTAGTTTTTTAGGAAAACTTTGAAAAAAGCTCAGAATAATAAGAGAAATTTAATGATATGAGGGATCCAATAAAAAAGAGAGAGATGGAAGCATAGGCAGTGGCGTACCTAAGGGAGAGGGGATTATGGAGTTTAACCCCCCCACCCTCCAGAAATTTAGCACTGATACAAAGAGTTTCTTGGCAAAAATATTTTTTTATTGTGACTGATGGTTAATTCCTTTAAACTTTCCATTTATATCATGATAAAACCTCCCCAATCAAAAAACCTGGGTGCGCCATTGAGCATAGGTATCTACTAGAAAGAAAATCTATTGACACATATTTTCATTATTCCTGGCGCTTGAGTGACCTTGTAATTTTGGTATTAAACTAATCAAGAGCCTGGTATAATAA